CTAATGTTGCAAGTGATCAGTCATAAGTTGAGGGCCACCTATACAGAGGTCTTCATTTAGGCTTTATGTCGATTTGTACTTTAAAAATTTATCCATCCCGCCCCCCAAAAAAGTTCCAATCATTCCATTTTTTAATGTCAACATAGTGCTATTTCTTAATAGCAAACCCCACAAAGAGAGGGAGGAAGGTTCAACCTTCTGTCTGGTAAAACTAAGAGATATTTTCTAAGAAAACCATCCTAACAGCTCACCAAAATCTCATGTTTTGCTATCTTGCACCCCTGTTTCATCAATACCGTGTCCAGTTCTGGTTAGCACACTACAAAAAAGATCTTGAGACTCTGGAAAGAGTGCAGAGAAGAGCAACCGAGAGGATTAGAAGACTGGAGGCTAAAACATATGAAGAACAGTTGCAGGAACCAGGCATGGCTAGTCTAGGGAAGAGAAGGACCTGGGGAGACAAGATAGCAGTCTTCCAAAAATGATTAGGAGACTAGAGGCTAAAATATATGACGAATGAGGGTGAGGTCATTGATGTTCTCTGAGCTTGATTGTTTTCTTGTAGATGACCCAAATTAGGCAACATCCAGGGGTGAAATGCTCTCGGATCGGACTGGATCGCCACCCAGGTATCATTACTTCCTGGTTTTAACTAGGAAGTAATGTTTCTTTTACCTTCTGCGCATGTATTCAGAGCGTGCACTTCCGAACCGGTAAGGAAGGTAAGTAGATTTCACCCCTGGTAACATCATCAGAGCTAGAACGGAGTGGGGTGTGTGGGGAGGAGGAGGAGGAGGAGGAGGAGGAAGAGGAGGACTGTGGGGTCCTTGGTGCCTTCTGAGCTTGGCTGTTTTCTTGCAGACATTTCATTACCCGACTAAGTAACATTATCAGTGCTAGAAGGGAGTGGGGATTGCAGAATAGAGGAGGAGGAGGGAGGAGGACTGTGTGGTCCTTGGTGCTCTTGGTGGTTTTCTTGCAGACATTTCATTACTCGACTAGGTAACATCATCAGTGCTAGAAGAGAAGGGGGGTTGCAGAGTGGAGGAGGAGGACTGTAGAGTCCTTGGTGGTCTCTGAGCTTGGTGGTTTTCTTGCAGATGTTTCATTACCCTACTAACTAAACTAGGTAACATCATGAGTGCTACTGATGATCACTAGTTTAGGTTTCTGCAAGGAAACCACCAAGCTCAGAGACCACCAAGGACCCCACAGTCATTATCTCCCCCTCCTCCTCTTCCTCCTCCTCTCCACTAATCCCCTCCCTTCTAGCACTCATGATGTTCCTTAGTTAGGTCATGAAATGTCTCCAAGAAAACCAAGCTCAGAGAGCACCAAGGACCCCACAGTTTTTTTTTAATTTATTTTTTATTTTATTTCAAATTTATATACCGCACCTTCTCCCGAGGGACTCAGGGCGGTGTACAGCCAGATAAAAAACATGCAATACAAACATTAAAAACAATTAAAAAGATATATATTAATTTGGCCCCAATTTAAAATAACAAACCAATTAAAAATATTTTAAAAATATATTAAGCCAGCCCGGCTTGCTGAAAAAAGCAAGTTTTAAGGGCACGGCAGAAGGCACCGAGGTCTTGGATTCTCCTTATCTCAGGGGATAGCTGGTTCCAGAGGGTGGGTGCCCCCAGAATGAAGGCCCTCCCCCTGGGGGTCACCAGCCTGCGTTGTTTGGCTGATGGCACCCCGAGGAGGCCCTCTCTGTGGGAGCGCACAGGTCGGTGGGAGGTCATTGGTAGCAGCAGGCGGTCTCGAAAATAACTAGATCCTATGCCATGGAGTTTTTGTCCTCCTCCTCCTCCTCCTCTTCCTCCTCCTCCTCCTCCTCCTCCTCCAAGCCCCTCCCTTCTAGCACTGATGATATTATCTAATTAGGTCATGAAACATCTGCAAGAAAACCACCAAGCTCAGAGACCACCAAGGACCCCTCATTTCAATCCTGAGTTACAAATATTCTCCTTTATTGATACCATGAACAGTTGCAGGAACTGGATATGTCCAGTCCCGTGATGGCGAACCTATGACACACATGCCCGAAGTCGCACGCGGACCCATGTCGCCTGGCACATGTGGCATTGCCTGTTCCTCTTCCGGGTTTCTGGCGTGCATATGCACACGATGATCAGCTGGCCTTTTCGCATGCGGCAGTGCTGGAAACTAGAAGAGCTGGTCTTCCGTTTTCGTGGATGAGCATGAGCACCAGCCAGCTGATTGTCGTGTGCACATGTGCACCAGAAACCCGGAATTGTAGCTGGCTCAAACCGGAAGTTCAGTAGCTGAAACTGGGAGTTCATTTTTGGACGCGCACATGTGCCCTGGGCAGCTCCTCTTCTAGGTTGTGGCCCAGATGCGCGCATGCTCCCTTTTTGGCACTCGATGTCCGAAAAGGTTCACCATCACTGGTCTAGTCTAACGAAGAGAAGTACTAGGGCTGACATGATAGCAGTTTGTTTTATGTTGTTGTTTTATTAAATTTATATACCGCCCTGCTCCCGAAGGACTCAGGGCGGTGAACAGGCACAGAATAAAATACATAAATACAAAAGTTAGAAACATAATTAAAACCAAATTAAATAATTTAGCCCAAGACAATTAAAAATCCTAATAATTTAAAACAAATTAAAATTCCAATTTAAAAATTTAAAAGAAAGGGGAGAAAATTAGGCCAGACCGGCTTGCTGGAATAGGAGAGTCTTAAGAGCACGGCGGAAAGTGCACAGATCCGGGATCCTCCGTATCTCCGGGGGGAACTCGTTCCAGATAGTGGGTGCCCCCACAGAAAAGGCCCTCCCCCTGGGGGCTGCCAGTCAACACTGTTTGGCTGACGGCACCCGGAGGAGCCCCTCTCTATGGGAGCGAACCGGCCGTACGTGAAACACCAGCAGTGTTCCAATATCTGAGGGGCTTCCACAGAGAGGAGGGGGCCCACCTATTCTCCAAAGCCCCTGAAGGCAGGACAAGAAGCAACAGATGGAAACTAATCAAGGAGAGAAGCAACTTAGAACTAAGGAGAAACTTCCTAACAGTGAAATCAATTAACCAGTGGAACAGCTTGCCACCAGAAGTTGTGAATGCTCCATCACTGGAGGTTTTCAAGAAGAGACTGGACAACCATTTGTCTGGAATAGTATAAGGTCTCCTGCTTGAGCAGAGGGTTAGACTAGAAGACCTCCAAGATCCCTTCCAACCTATTGTCCTATGTTCTGTATTCTAAACATGACCCAAAGAAACCCCTTCTTTGGCCTCCTGCATCTCACCCAGCCATGCATCCTGCACAGGGGTACCTTCTGTCTTGCTGGCCACGATTCTAACCGTTTGGAGCTAGCACAATCCCCAAACTGATTTAAAATATCTGTCTAACCAAAAGCAAGAAAGAGAGAAGACAGAAACGGGTTTGACTTCATTTTTCCTCCAGTGTTTTAATTTTAGTTTTTAAGGATTTCAGGAATGAGAACTCAGAAATAGTCATGTCTCTTTGCATCATAATAGATTATAGTAGAAATTATTATTATTATTGGTTAATCTTTAGTGAGATTCACAGCCTTTGAGGCTGGTTAATAGCTCAGCAGCTCGAGTCCTAACCAAGGACCTAGGAACTGTTAAGGTATCGTCGGAGGATGTAAGCTGTTTCGAGTAAGGTGGTTTTTTGTAGAGTCAAAATGTTCAAGTCCGGCAAATTTAGAATTTCTAAATAGCGGGGTAGCCCTTTGGGTGTTGCTCCAAGGGCTCCAATTACAATCGGGACAACACACGATTTCTTTTTCCACAGTCGCTCAACTTCAATTTGCAAGTCCCGGTACTTTGTGATTTTTTCTTGCTGCTTATCTTCAATCCGTGCATCACCAGGTATTGCAACGTCAATGAACCATACTTTTTTCTTTTCAACTATTGTTATGCTATGTGTTGTGGACCAAGTGCCTGTCAGTCTGAATCCTGAAGTCCCACAAGATCTTGAGTTTCTCATTCTCTAAAACTTTCTCAACCTGATGTTCCCAGTGGTTTTTGCTGTACTCAAATCCAAACTTCTGGCACAATTTCCAGTGAATGATCTTAGCAACACGGTCATGGCGTTGTAGGTAGTCAGTTTGTGAAAGTATTATTATTATTATTATTATTATTATTATTATTATTATTATTATTATTATTACTATTATTACCAGCCAGATGTTTAGACTGGATATTCATCTATCAAGTTCTTCTCAAAGACCTGGGATAGACAGATGTTGTCTGATGATCTAAGTATCATCACAGAATATAAGCTGCTGCTGCTGTTGTTATTATTTTGCTGATACTATCTGAATATTTCTTTTTTCTTTTTGTATTTATATCCTTTGACATTGCATCTTATTCACCTTCCGGCTATTGAACAGAATGTAAATAATACATATGTGATTTGTCATATGTATTTTAAGCGTGCTCAATTGTTTTTAATGTAAGCTGCCTCGAGACATTTGGAGCAGGGCAGCCTAAAAGAGTATTAAATAAACACATGAATAAATTACCATAAATCCTACATCACCGTAGCCAAGATCAACAACAGAACGTACATTTTCTCACAGAAAAGTATAGTTGTGTGATAGAATTCACTATCTCGCTGGAGCTTCCAGTCTCAGGTGAAGTCTATCTCACAAGGTTACATGCAAGAGGGATGGATAAACAGTCAGACAAGAGCTACTCAGTTTGTTCCACAATGGAACAGTGGTGCAAACCTAGAAGAAGAAACTTTGATGTCTTATTAATTTGATTATTAATTTATTTTTATTTAGTTATTTGATTATGTGGCTACCCATCTGAAATAGATGACTCTGGGCATTTCTTATGTTGTTTTCCTTTTAGGTCACCCAGCTGGGATGCCTTCCTACACCCCAAAGGCCTTTAAGAACTGCCCCATCATTTTTTTTTTAATTAATAAAAGCCATCAACACTTAATGAATAACATTCTGTTCATTTTGTAATGGGATAAAAAAAAAATGCCATACCTTTCTCTGTGCAAACGATAGCCACCAAGAAGGCGACGAGCAGAGTTTTCATGTTTGCAAAGTTTTCCGGAGCTTCACCAGAAGTTCCTGCTAAGGGAAGGTTCCATTTATACCTTGGAGGTGTTGCCTTTTGTTGTTGTTGTTATGGTGTGGGTTGACTGAATTGCCATCACTACAAACTGCAGGGCAGAGCAATGCAAATCATCAAGGGAGGATCCCAAATCCAGTGAAGAACGCCTAATCTCCCAGCAAGATGACCCAGGCATTTAAATTCTTGCTCTGCCTACAGCCCAGGCAAGTGTCTAATTGTCGAGAGACAGCTAAAACTGAGTTGGATGGAGAAACAGCCTGAGATGTCCCTTCGCTCCATTCCAAAGGAAATACTTGGCCAGGAGATGAGAAATTATGGCTGAAATTTGCCTGAGAAGTTTGGAAGGAAGGAAGGATAGATAGATAGATAGATAGATAGATAGATAGATAGATAGATAGATAGATAGATAGATAGATAAGTTGGTAGGGTGGGTTGGACTAGACCAGGGATGGGCAAATGTGACTCTTTTACAATCTGTGGACTTCAATTCCCAGAATTCCTGAGACTGGCTCAGGAATTCTGGGAGTTGAAGTCCACAGGTTGTAAAAGAGCCACATTTGCCCACCTCTGGACTAGACGATCTCCAAGGTTCCTTTCACCACTATTATTCCATGTTCTATCTTTAGGACACATGGTGGAAGGCAAGAGTCCTTTGAGAAGACCCTAACGCTTGGAGAAATTGAAGACCATCCATGGGTTTGGATGGCTACAAGAAGGAACATAACAAGAACTCAGAAAAATGAGAACAAAAAAACCCACACCTCTATTTCTCAGTTCAGTTACAGACAGACAATCCTGGTGAAATGTATTCACTGCATCTCAAAGAGTCAGAAGCCACTGTCCATGTCCAGAAGAAACCCAACAAGAAAAGCATCCTTCCCAGTGGTGGGTTCCTCCTGGTTCGGTCCAGTTCGGCCGAGCCGGTAGCGGTGACGATATGACGTCACTGAACCGGTTCTCCCCGCCCCCCCTGCCCACCCACCCACGTTATTCTTACCTTTTATTTATTTATTTATTTATTTATTTATTTATTTATTTATTTATTTATTTATTATATTTCTATACCGCCTTTCCCCCGTAGGACTCAAGGCGGTGTACAGTCAAGAAAAATATAGATACACAAACATCATAAAATTGCTAATTAAAATTATTACTTAGTTTGGTCAATTAAATAAAACCCAGAATTAGATAACATTTAAAAAATCATTCACTTGTTCATATGTTTAGCCCATATGGTCTAAATATGAATAAATAAATAAATATTTATTTGGTCCCACCCCCAATCTATTGCTGCCTCCTGAGTCCCAGTTTAAAAAACTGTTTAAACTCTTGCCGCGGGGCTTCAAAGGGCCGCCCTACAGCTGATCAGTGTTAAAAGTAAACAAATGAGTCGGGTCGTAAGTGCGAGGACTGGTCGTAAGTGTGAGGACCTTCCAGAAATGACTCTAACCAGCTAGCCACGCCCACCTAGTCACATGACCTCCAAGCCACACCCACAAAATAAGCCACGCCCACAGAACTGGTAGTAAAAAAAATTAGAACCCACCCCTGATCCTTCCCCAAGAGTGCTCAGTAGGGATCGTATATTTGAAAAGCAGTCGTAAGCCACTGTTGTAACTTCAAACAGTCATATTGACCAGGCTGTAGAAAAATAGCATCCACCCCTCTTCTAGAAGAATGAAATATTTTAGGAGATATTAAAAAGGCAGAATATTATATTTCCCCTAAAAGAAAAATAAAAACATCTTAAGGGAGAAAGAAACTCAGAGCTCCATCTCCCTGCCCCCAGCAGATACTTTGTGCCCATTAAGAGAGATGGAGCCAGCCTATCTACAAAACAGAAGACCTTCAGCTTCAGGGTGATGGGATTAAGCCAGGAAGGGAGGGGCGGGGGCTCATGCGCACGCGTGTCAATACCCATAATTCTATGCGACCCACCCACCCCCCGCTCACCCCGCTCCTGGCACACAATGGCCCGGAAGGCCCATTTTTCTTTCTCACCTGGCTCCAGGACCTCTCTAGGCATCTGGGGAGGGTGAAAACAACCTTCCCCACCCCTCCGGAGGCCCTCCAGAGGCCAAAAATGGCCCGTTTGACAACTTACAGTCCCATTGGAAGCTGAGCTCATGTGCCCACTGATATGGTTACGTTTGCAACCTGTGGCACGCATGCCATAGGTTCGCCATCACGGCCCTATACCATCGTGGTCTAAAGCAGTGTTTCTCAACCTTGAAGATGGGTGGACTTCAACTCCCAGAATCCCCCAGCCAGCAGCCAGCAGCCAGCAGCAGCTGGGGGATTCTGGAGTTGAAGTCCACCCATCTTCAAGCTTCTAAGGTTGAGAAACACTGCTCTAAAGGGTTCTCCAGACTCTTCTTGAAAAACTTCCGTGGTGGAGCATTGGAGCACCCACAACTTCCAGAGATGGCTTTGATTTCAGCTTTAAATCACAGATTTCAGCTTTAGCTTTATTATTTCTCCTTCCTGTGAACAATCTTCTGGTTTGGCTTTATCTAGAGTGGAATGAAGTTAAATTAGCAATTACCTCGTCTTTGTGGACAACTAATGATAATTTTGGTTTATCCCATACTTCTACGTTTATGATTTGACCCAAATCAACATCCAGAGCTGAAATTTAGACTTTGGCAAAGCTCCTTGTAATAACCAACTAATTTTGACTTCTTCGTTCATTGTTCCCAGTATATTTTTTTTAATCTTTTTTTTTAATTTTTAATGAAATTGTTCGGCACAGAACATCAAGGTGTTCTAATGTACAATGCATTGTCAATGTGCAAACCATGTGTAGCATTGTTTGTTAAGGAGTTGTGACTTGTCATATACATGAAGAATATGATTGATGATTTTAAGGATACACATATACCCACCCAAAACCCACCTCTAACCCTGGGCATCGTTGCACTTGCAAATACCTCTTTGAATTTTTTTTTTTTACACTTAAAAATAACTCCTTTTTTTTTTTTTTTAAATGGGAAGCTGTAAGCTTCAGCCTTGTTTTATATCCACGAATGCCTCTAGGATGCCAAGTAAAATGTTTCAGATGCTTTTCTTAGAAGAGGTGAGAATATGGTAAACTCCTCTTCTGATTAGAAGGAGGTTCAGTTCTCAGGAAAAGGCAAAGATAAGCAGAAGTGGGAGGAATGAGGATGATGATATTATCCATTCGGTCATGTCCAGTGGGATTCAGCCGGTTCGGGCTAGTTTGGGTGAACCAGTTGTTAAATTGCCGGCTGGCCGTATCCCTCCCTGCCCTGCCCCTTCCAGGAGTCCCCACTTGCCCCATTTTTGCTTCCAGGAGGCTGCAGAGAGGCCTACTAGGTCCAAAATGGGGTGCAGGAGGGCCGTGCGTTTCCCCCCACCCCCCCGCAACCTGTTTTTGCTCCCAGGCTGGTGCAGGAGGCCAAGTGCTGCCTGTCACACCCCCTGGCCACGCCCATTATGGCCACACCCTCCCAGCCAGTCATTGGGGCAAAGAACTGTGTCAGCGTCTCAGCACTGACGTAGAAAAGGGAGGAGAAGCCTGAACTTTTGCCTGCTAAATCCCTTTGAAGATTCTGTCCCCTCGGAGATGGGAGAGGGGGGAGACATTCCTGTGATCTGACGAAAAAGGAATCAGGCGAGTGACTTGGAAGATAGCCAATGAGAAGCAGAGAATTGGGGATCGGAAAGGGAGGGATTGGGGGGCAAAGGTCAGTACTGACCGCGAAGAGTCAGGATCAGATTGCTGTGCTCGAATAAAGAGAAAATTTCCTTAAAGATCGGCAGTTTGGAAGTTCATTTATTTTGAGATAGCATCAAAACCTGACAAACCGGTTGTTAAATTATTTAAATCCCATCACTTGCCTCCAGAAGTTGTGGCTGCTCCAATTCTGGAAGTTTTAAAGAAGAGATTGGATATCCATTTGTCTAAAATGGTATAGGGCAGGGGTCGGCAACCTTAAATACTCAAAGAGCCACAAAGGTCCTAATCGGAAGCCCCCATTCAATTCTGGAGCCGACTGGAAGTCCTGTTCCCCCACCATAGAGTCTCCTCCTAGCACGGCGTCCTTTTTCCTCTACTTGTCCTAACCGAAAGCCCTATCAATTGTGAAGCCAACCTGCGACAAGGAGCCACAGCAGAGGAATGAAAGAGCCACATGCGGCTCCAGAGCCGCAGGTTGCTGACCCCCCGGTATAGGGTTTCCTGCTTGAGCAGGGCATTGGATTAGAAGATCTCCAAGATGGCTTTCAATTCGGTTAATTCTGTTGTTCTTGGCAATTCTATGAGCCAGATGGTGTGTCCAACATCTTCCAATCTTACACCACTTCTTTGAGTTGTTCCTCCAGAGAGAGGAAACTGGGATTCGGTATTCTTCAACTTGCAACAATTCATATGGTGACTCTTCAAGATTACAACAGCACTGAAAAAAGGTAGTTACGACCGTTTTTCACCCTTACGTCCGTTGCAGTATCTCCATAGTGACGTAATGATAATTCAGACGCTTGGCAACTGGCTCATATTTATGACGGTGGCATGTTCTGGGGTCGTGAGATCCCAAGCAAAGTCAACGGGGAAGCCAGATTCACTTAACAACCATGTCACTAACTTCACAACTGCAGAGATTCGCTTAACAACGATGGCCAGAAAGGTTATAAAATGTGGCAAAACTCACTTAACCCTGTCTCACTTAGCAACTGACATTTTGGGCTCAATCATGGTCGTAAATTGAGGACTATCCGTAACCACACTGAGAGAGGAAATTGGGGTTCAGTATTTTCTTTCTGTGCAGAGGGAAAGATGGACGCTTGAGAGCCAAATCCAAATTAAATCTCCCTGCTGATATTCAGAAAGCTGTTTTTTTTTTATTTTTATTTAGACTTCTATACCGCTTCATAGTGCTTTACAGCCTTCTCTAAGCGGTTTACAAAGTTAGCATATAGCATATTGCATATTAGCATATTGCATTAGCATTAGCATATTGCCCCCAACAATCTGGGTCCTCATTTTACCCACCTCGGAA